AAGGATTTACTTTGAAAGTATTTTGAATAGGGTTAAAATTAAAAAAATATGAAAATCCTCTATGTTTTTGGCTAAGTTTAAGTATCTTTGTTGAGATGTATCCTTTTCGGTACGACTGGTATATATATGCACCAGTAAAAGTTTAAACATGCCTAAAAGTTACAAATGTTAACTGATTTGCTTGAAAAAATTACCATTCCGTCCGTACTTTAGTTCTTATTGAGTTCTTGAGTGAAAATTTGTGTGTTTTCTTGTAATAGTCGATAGTAAATGCGCCATTTTTTTTTTAGTTTTCGTTCAATTCTCGGGGAGTGTGGGCCGCGGGTTGATTGCAACGTGAAGAAATGAAGTAGATATAAAGTGTTTTAGTGACTTCATCGTCGCAGGTTACGACATTGCTATATTTATTGTGTTTTTCGTACTATAATTAAATGTGGTACATATATGTACCAATAGTCCCTTTCAATGGTACCTATGTGTACCTCTGAAGTGTGCATCATCAGGAACTCTTGGAGGGCGAGTCGTAAATAAAGTGGCTGGTTCAATCAAGTTAAAAAACGTGGCTTTATGTTTTGATCGATTTTTTCATATGCAAAATTTATATGATGCAATTTCTTATCCAGATTTGAGTACTGCAACAGAAAAAATTTACCAAATTTTGGCCCAAATAAATTGCAGCGCAGCGAAGCGCTATTAAGGAGAACATCATCTGGTTTGTTGCGTGAAAAACGGCAAGATAGCAAAAAAGTTTTAGTAGGTAATTAGTAATTGCCACGAGCCGATGATAGCGGTACCGACAACTTAAAAAAAAGTCAATTACAATTGGAACGTCCAGATCAAATAAAGTTTTATCATGAAATTATAGGTGGCGTAGCAAATGAGTTTGTTATGTTGATACGATAGGAAGTCTGATAAATAGTGGAAATAGTTTTTTATCGTTTGATTAAGATGGCAGCATATCTCAAAATTCCCTAAATCGCACAGGGCTGCAGTTTAAAAATTTGTTTAGCGACGTTAGCTGAAGTTTTGATAAAGAATGGGTTGAAACTTTTGTCGTTCCTAGAGCTCTAAAGGCAGGTAAGCGACCTCAGAAAATATGAGCATGTTGTCTTCTCCCATCTGAGCTAACAACATGTCGGCGTTGTGTTAATTTCTCGCAACAAAGAAATCAAACACGGACAAAAATATTTTGTATGCAGTGTAATTTGTCCCTTAATAATAATAATAATAATAGATTGGCGCTAACACATATGTTAGTGTTTGTCCGAGCTTCTCCTCCGACTTGTGGCGTGCGCCTTGATGTTGTCACACAAATCGGAGGGACCTACAGTTTTACGCCGACTCCGAACGGCGATTGTATTTTTATGAGAAGCTGTTTTTCATGGCAGAAATACACTCGGATGTTTGCCATTGCCTTCCGAGGGACGACCGCTGTTAAGAAAAAAAAACTTTTTTCAATATTTTTTTTTGCGATGTTGCTTTGACCAGGGCTTGAACCCAGGTGCTGCGGAGTGGAAGCGCGCACTGCTTACCACTACGCCACAGCGTCCTTCATCACTTTTATGTTAGTGCACTAGTATTATTTTTGTTATTATTTTCTACCTTCATTTTTATAAAAAAAGGATTAAAAAAAACAATGAATTGCTCTTAATAAAATATTAATTGAAATATTTCCGTTTCTAACACTTCGTATTTCCTTACTATAATTTTAGCATATTCTTACATAAAAATCTTGAATAATTGTAAGACTATAAATGAACTATAATTAAATAATTAAGTACTCTCGTTCTCTAATGTTTGTTCCACAGGACGGATGGTACACTAGTGTACCAGTTAAAAAGACGGATGGTACAAATATGTACCACCCCCTCCCACCCCACCGAATGCAATTGTTGACATTTTTCCACCTCACATATGTTAATACGACACATAATAATGTACTCCAATAATTAAATTTGAATTAGCTCCACGGCTCGAA